TTTGAATAGGGAGTGTGTGGTAGATAATATTGTGTCTTGGATATGATGATGGCCTTGTGGTTCTTTTGGAGAATGTTCTTGTTCTTAGGAGATGTGTAATAAAGTATTTAAATATCCTGGTGTCTGCAATGTTCTCACAAATGGTTCAACAATAAATGTATATATAGAGAGGAGGAAAGAGCACACATGGCTCCATGTCTTTAAAAGGGGAGATACCGTAGGTGAAGTACCCACCCCGTGGTTGTCTCAGCAGCACTGATCCCCAGGAAGAGATCCCCTCACCAAGCAGTTGAGGGGTGAAGAGACCTGAGGGCCTGTTTGAGAACAGGTTTATGGGCAGGAGCGGATGGAGGGAGGCCGAAGGTGGTGTAGAGTAGAAAGAATATAGGGTTTGGAGGCAAAGACCTGGGTTCTGTGCTGTGTGACCTTCAGTGGGTCTTTTAACCATTTTTGTGCCTCAGTTTCCCTATCTGTAAAAAGGGAAGAAGGGTGCCTGCCTTGGGAAACTCAAATGAGAAAACAGGTCAGAATTCCCTCGGAACACTGGAGCCTGCTGCGTGGATGCTTCTGTCACTGCTTGGAACCAGCCGGTCCCCAGGCCCCGAGGAACACTGAGCAGAAGGAGCACGTTAGGACGGGCACGGTTGGACTGGACCGCCCTCTGCCTCCCTCTCTGGGGATCTGGTGCGGATCACAGCAGGGCTGGAGAGCTGGGGCAGGGCAGCTGCCAAGCCCTCGCTGCTGCCCTCTGCTCCGTAAGGGGCCCCCTCCCCCGTCAGACCTCCGGGGCAATGGCGGTGAAGGGCATGCCCTTCCCGAAGCATACTGGGAAGGCAGTATGGCCAGAGAAAGGAACTTCGGGGCCTCACTCGTAAAAGGGCCCAAACCACTGGGCAGCTGTGTCTCTCATTTCTCCTACTGGGCCCTAAGTCCCTGAAGGCTCCTGCTTTGCATTATCTTGCCCCCCACCCCAACCTGCATTGCTGGCCATGCGATGAGGACGCTAGAAATACTGATCAAGTCCAGGAGGGGACCCAGCCTCCGGCCTGGTCTGACTTAGCACTTACCTTGGCTGGGTTACTTCCTTCCTCTAGGCCTCAGTTTACCCAGAATCCATAAAAGGGGGTGATCCATTCCTGCCCTGCCTCTATCTGAGGGGAGGCAGCAGTCCAGAGAGGGAACGAGCCACACTCTGAAGGCCAGCAGATCCGTGCTCAAATCCTGACATCCCTGCTTCCTAGGGGCGTTCGAGAGCCTGCACTGGTTGTGTCCAATTGCGTTATTGCAATAAATCAAGACAAAGTGGGTACAAATATCTGACATGGAGTTTATTGGTGTATTGTCTCTCTCCCCCACTAGAGTGTCGGCCCCACAAGGCAGGGACTTGGTTTCATTCACTGCTACACCCCAGCTCCCAGAGAGGTGCCTGGGGTGCCGCTCAGTCGGGGCTCCCTATGTAATCGCTGATTGAAGGGATGGACGTAACAGGTGCTCAGTATATGATAGCTCCCGTTAGAATTCCACAACGTGCTGAGACAAAAAGCACTTGAAGTTCATTGGTTGTTGAGAGAGGAAACTCTGGAAAGCAAGAAATAATCTTTGGGCTGGCGTGGGTCTGCCCATGGGCCTGTCGGCCAGGCAGTGAAGGACACAGGGACACTGGGCTCATCTGAACAAGGAGAGGGACACGAAGTGCCCACAAGAGCCAGGCGGGAACACCCATGAGCGAGGTGGACCGAGGTGGGGGGTACTTGGCAAACTGGGGACCCCCCATGTGGCCTGTCTAATAGGGTTCCCTCTCTGTAGCTGACTGTGGCCAGGTGAGAATATAGGCCCCGTTGGCCAGCCCGATTGATTGCACAAGGCAAGCCAGAAATCCAGTGGAAAACAATTCATTTTTAAGAGAAAACCACAAATGAGAGCTAACGAAACCCATCTGTGGGCCGGGAGGGGCCCTGTGGTGTCGCCCACTCCCCTCGAGCAGCCCCTGGGGCCCTTTCTCTCCAGGCCTCTCAGGCAGTCCCAGCCCCCGAGACACAGGACTCCGCTTGGAGAGATGCTGACGTGCTGTCCAGATCCGAAAGGCCGGGGTCACACACAGCCGGAGAAGGAGCCACTTCCCTGGGCTCTTGGGCTCAACGTGTCTCCGGGCGTGGGGGCTCCTAGGCTCAGGGCAAGTCAGCTCGCACAGTGCCTGGCCCATGCAGAGTTTCAGAAAATACTCCATAAACGGACCTCCTCAGTGTGACTTTGGGCACAGCCCTCCTTCTCTGGGCCTCATCTGTAAACCCTGCACAGTATGAGCCCCCGACCACACACACAATTTAGGGATAACGGGGGAAATCAAGCAAGATTAAAGGGACAAGAGTGTTTCTGAAGACTGAAAGTGCTTTACAAATGCAAAGTGTGGCCATCTTTCTTGTCATCATTATTATGAGCAAGACAGTTTCGCCAGAGCAGAAGAGGGGCCTGGGACCCAGAAGAACAGAGAATTTACAAAACCTTCACAAGGAAGATCCGGATCAAGCCCACTAGGGCTCATGCACGGAGGGGATGAGTTCTCACCAGCGCCAAGACGGGCTGGTTGCGGGAACCTACAAGACACCCCAGGCCCCTGGGGAACAGTGCAGGGGCGGCCCTGGTCCGGCCAAGCGGTGTCTCCCCAGACAGGACGGCTTCGACGGCACACACAACCCCCACAGGTGCTGCTCGTGAAATATAGAAACTATATAAATATTATACATAAATATTTTCTCATATATCTTAGCTATATAAATTATCCTCTTTTGCCCTAAAAACTACATATGTGAGGTAGACAAAAAAATACCCTGTGAGCGTTTCCCTTAAAGCTGTAGAATGAGGGGCCCCAGCAGGGCTGAGGTGGACCTCTGGGGGCACCTGGAAGAGAAAGGATGGAGAAGGCGGGGCTAGACGGGGAGGACCCCCCAGGCCGAGGGGCCCTCAGAGCCCACACCCATGCCATTGGTCTAGATCATCGGTGTTGGTGGCCAGCCATGGCCTCGGTCCCTCAGAGTCTGCCTTTATCCTCCTGCAACCCCAGCCAGCAGGGGAGTTGGGGTGCAGATGATATGTTGGTGGATCAGACTCCTTCTTCTTGCCAGTGAGGCCTCTGGTACCTTATAACAAGGGCTAGGGCAAGGTGGAGGCAGAGTTAGGGTCTCAGAGGAACAATATGGGTTGGGCTGGCCAAGAAACAGTCTCCATACAGTGGGGGGAGTGGAAGAAACTAGAAAACCAGCCTGCTCGCCTTTTTGCTCTTCTTGACAAGAGGTGGGCCGGCTGGCTGGGCCAGCAAGGTCAGTCCAGCGAGGGGGTCTCCGCTAAGTTTGGCTTCTCCTCAGAATTTCTGCAGCCAGAGATCCTTCCAGCATCTCACAAGCTGCCCTGACTCACCAAAGCCAGGGAAGCTCCTCACCCTTGGAGGTCCCAGGGAGCCTGGGGCTCCTTCCTGGGCTCGAACTGGTGGTTTCTGAGCATACGGCTGATTCTGAAGTTTCCATTCAGCAAAGGGTCAGCAACTCTGGGTTCAGGGAGAAAGGAAGCTGACAGAGGGCGCGGCAGGGCTCGCAAAGCGGCCAAGGGCTTCCCGAAGGAGGTCACTCACTTCCTCCTGGCTGGCATTCAGCTTCCAGCAGAGTGACCCCTGCAAAGCCCTGGTTCTGAACCAGAGTGTGTGCTGCTAAATGGGAACCCTCCAGCCTGGCAGGTCCAAGGGGTGTGCATGCGTGTGTGTGTATGTACCAGCTACTCTCTCCTCCTCTCACACAGGGGCCTTGGCAGGTAGCCCTTTAAATGTCCACAGAATCAGAGGAAATTAGCAAAGTCACTTCTATTCCTCAGGTATGAGCCAAAGTGGAGGCCATCCATGAGTGGAGGGGGCCCCCAAGGAGCCAGGCTTAGCAAAGACGTTCCCATGCTTGTAACTCCAGGGCAAAACCTTAATTAAATGAGTAGCTAGAAGAGTGGAATTGTAACCAGAGTCAGAACTCTTCTGGGTCGCGAATGTCAGCTGCATTGGGGCCTCACGGCACGGGTGACCACAGCCACAGGCAGTTGACCAAACAGGGCTTAAGGGGAAGCTGAGAAGCCGAGCTCCCTGCGTCCCTGCCTCCAACCAAAGGCAGTCACCCTCGCCTGGGCTGGGACTAAAGGTTCCCCAGCCGGAAAACAGGGGAGGGGTCACTGTCGCTCTGTACAGCCTCGGTGCGCTATCTGCAAGCCACCTGGGGACAGTGCGACCCCACCAGCCTCACATCCACTGGGGCTTTTACCGAGCAGGGCTGGCTGGGTGTGCATAACCCAGCTCTCAAGGCAAGAATGAGGCCTCAGTGCCTATTTTAAAAGCCAGATCAAGGACACAGGGCTCCAGGGCATGTATCTGACTTGGGTCCACTCAAGCCCAGCAAGCTTTCCTTTCTGCAAACAAACAGCCCCTACCTCCCGGCCTCTCCCCCGACCTCTAGCACAGCAAAGCCACCGGGGGTGGAGCTGCATGGCCCCCAGGGCTCACTGTGACCTGAGCCGGGCCCGAGGGCTGAACTGACCCATCCCTGCCAGGCTCCAGCCTTTGCAGCCAGCTGACACTGCCTTCCCGTGCCCTGCTGGCCCAGAAGCTCACCTCCCAAGTCTTGCTGGCTCTCGGCCACTCACCTGAGGAACGGAGCTAGCGGGATCCCCCCCCCCCCCCGCACAAGACCCTCAGTCCTGGCCTCCTCTCGGCTTCCCTTATCCCCCCCCCACCTCCTTTCTGACTCTGTGCTCCTGCTCCAACAAGGCTGGGGACCCTCCGTGCTGGTCCCCGCGAGCCTCTCTCTGTGGAATGCGGAGGGAGGGAAAGGCGGCTGAGGCCCCGGCGGAGGGAGGAGTGCGTGTGCAGGGGCGGAGAGTGCCTGCCTGCTGTGCGTCCCTGCCCGGGGGGCATCAAGGTGGCCGAGCGCCAGGGGTCTTGGCAGCGCCCCCGGGCACCCTGGGCAGCCGGCCTAGTGCTTGCAGGTGTACAGGAGCTCCTCCTGCACGCATTGCTGGCACTCCACGTAACAGCACCACTGCACCTGGCAGTGGCAGGAGAAGGCCACCAGGCGGCTCTGGGTGTCGTAGCCCCGCCCGCAGCACAGGCTGCTGCAGCTGGCCTCCCGAGAGCACGCCCTGCCCGCCGTGCCGGGCGAGTACTTGCTGGGCCGGCAGAAACTGGGCGAGTCTTCCATGTAGACCAGGTCCCCAGACCGCGGGGCCAGGCCCTTGGTGGGGCTGCCGGGCCGGGCAGGGGCCCACAGCTCCAGGCGGCCCAAGGCCTCGTTGGTGGCGCTGGACACCTTGACGGCTGAGTCATAGCGCAGCTTGAGCGCCTGACCCGTCTCTCGGAAGGGGGAGAGCTGCTTCCAGCAGGTGCGCACGGCGCAGGAGCCCGACACGCCGTGGCACTTACACGTGGTCCTGAGGCCACTCTTCACTGCCTGCAGGGAGAGACAGAATGCAGGTGTGGCCAGGGCCCCGGAGCCCACGGTGCCAGCCCGCCCCCAGAGCGTAGACCCTGGGAGGGTCTACGTGGCAGCAGGATGGGCGAGAGACAGCAGAAGGAGGCAAACAGGACCCAAGCTAACCCACGTGCCGCCTTTGGGCAGACTAGTTCAAGGCCACCCTTCCGCTGGGCCAAGGTGCCTGCCTCGGGGAGAGCAGTGCAGGCCAGATCTCAGCCCCTGCTCCTTCCCTTGGCCCAGAGTCCTTGTGGAGTAGAAAGCTTGCACAACTGAGCACAGCAGCCCTGCTTCACACCGAGTCAGCAGCAGTGAGGGCACGGAAGTCAGTTTCCTAAAGAATCGGAACCCCGGCCTCTCCCAGCCTCTGATCCCAATAGACCGAGAAACTTTTTACCCTCTGGCCTCCCACTACCGTATGCCTCTGCTAAGGCCCTTCCCTTCTCTGGGCCTCCTCCGTCTTTCGGTCTGTAAAATGGAGGAAGTGGGGATGTTGCACCAGATCAAAGCTTTCAAACTACGTTGGCTTCTAGGACGTCCGGGAAGGCCAGTCCCGGGAATGGAGACCCTTCTCCAAATATGTTTCGGCCTCATCAGGGCCCAGGCCCTAGCCTGGCTCCCACCTGCTGCCTAGCCCGCGATGGTGCCCCCGACCCTTCCCTACTTCCTGGCACCTGGTAAGGGCATGGCGGTGGAAGGAATGGGGCTCCCCCAGGGACAGCTGCGTGTGTGCTGAGGGGCCTCCTACAGACCGGGCTGCCGGCACCGGCACGCTGGCTGGGGCAGGGCTCTGCGCCTCTGGGGAACGTGCTCACCTTGATGCCCACATGGGTGTTGTGAGCATCCGCCCGAGCCCTCAGGTCTTTGCTTCCTCTCTTGGGCCCCAGGAAGTTGCTCAGGAACTTGGTGCTGTACTTGAGGTTGTCGCCGCACACGCCCCACTGCCAGGCCTGCCGGCTCTCCAGGCCCGGAGAGTCGTCACAGGTGCAGCGCTCCATGCGGCCGGCGCTGCAGGCCCGGGCCAGAGTGTGGGTGAGGGCGGCCGAGGACACTGCGTACAGGAAGGCTGTCTCCTTGAAACCTGGGCCAGGCACCCGGGGGATCCGGGAGGGAGGAGGAGAGTGGGCTCAGAGGCTGCCCTTTGCCCTCTGAGGGCAGAAGAGGATGATGGGGGCGCCGTGATGAGCCGGACGAGGGTCGTGTGCACCTGAGGACATGGCTCGGGGCAGCCTCCTATCACCTGCCCCTTAGCCTCAGGCTGCAGGCTATCGGGTAGATGGAACTTTCAGATTTACTATGGAGTATATGCCTAGATTCCTAGGGCAGCAGACAGGGGTTACTGCCTCTAGATGAGGACACTAAGATGCTGAGAAGTGACTTGGGCATATGGTGAGGGGCAGAGCTGAGGCCAAACCACTGACCTTGACTCCAAGTCAATGTGTGGGCAAACTGGACCAACCCATTTCTGAGGCCCCTGATCCCCTGAAATATGCTCTGTGGGCGTCCTGGGCTTCAAGATGCTGCTTAGATGTCACTGTCTGCTCCCTACCTGTGCAGTAGACCCAGTGACAGAGTGACTTTGGGTCTCCTGCCTGACTTGTTCAGGACTGATCATCCCAATCCCTGCCAGGACCGTCGCTACTCCGGTACTCTTGCTGAGGCATGGCCCAAACCCAGCCACCCTCCGCCTGCTCTCCAGGGTACCTGGGTGCTGCTAACACGGGTGGAAGAGTAGCATCAGCTCCATCCCGGACCCTCCCCCGCCGTGGAGAGCAGCTGGTCTGGAAGGGGGCTGGCTCCTCTCTCTATCATCACTGACTTTCTGTGAAAGCCCCTTGCTACTTGGTGACAGAGTCACATACTGAGCTGCTTCCCCCTGAGGCTGCATGCTCTGCAAGTGTAGATGGGGTGCGGTTCAGCTCTGTGCCTCCAGCATCCGGCACAGAGGCCGGCTCACTGCGAGCCTCACCAGATGCTTAGCGGATGAGGTGTGGAGGGATGCAGGGAGGAACGGAGGAGGGAAGAAGGAAGGGTGTGAATGGAAGGGAAGGAGGGAATGACGGACCGATGGATGCGATGAACAAAGTCACGGGTGAAAGAGGGAACACATGAATTTGGCCCGTCTCAGGTTATTTGGCCGACTATTACCTGCCTTCCATCCTTATATGGTCTTGCCCCTTGTTTTGCACGTGTGTGTGCAGGAGGCTGAGGGAGGGGACTGAGGGACCACCCATCTCATCTGTGGGCTCCTCCTCCATCCAGTAATGGGCTGTGCCTCCTCTTCTCTGGGTCTCCCTTGCTCCTCCACTCCGCCCCCCCAAACCAAGGGAAAGGCTGGGCCTCATTAACTCCTGGGACTCTTCTAGGGGGAGACTATGCTAGGTTTGCAAGGGCAGCATGGCCTGGGCCCAGGGGCCGGGGGCAGGATGGCTGGCCTCCTCCCCAGCCCTCCTCCCCACCCCCAGCCCTCCTCCCTACCTCTCTTGAGCAGGCCAGTCCTCCCCTCCAGGCTGCAGTTCCAGCGCTCGTGTCGAAACTGGAATTGGCACTCGAGCAGGCTGAGGTGGGCAGCGTCCTGCAGGGTCTCGGCCAGGCCGGGCTCCCTCCGGCAGAGCTGCTTCTGCCGCCGGGACAGCTTCAGCAGGTCACACTGCTTCAGGTGGGCCCCACCCTGTGCAGGGGCCACAGCCGTGCCCAGCCCTGGGAAGGGCGTCAGGACCTCCCGCCCGGTCAGCCTAGAGGGAGTGAGAGAGGGAGACAGTGACCCTTGGGGGTCCTGATGGGGGAAGGGGGTAGGGAGGACAGGGGACAAGCAAGGGGGGAGGGGGCCCTCTTGGGGGCTTCATTTATTCCCTGCTGGGAGGCGGGCCAGCCCCACGCGGTTATGGGCCCATTTTTCAGAGTAGGAAACCCAAGTGCTTGGAACAAGCGCTCATGCCCAAGTTTTCCAGAGGCCAATGTCTCTGCTGGTCTTACCCATTCTATTTCCCAAACTTGCCCAATCATAAAAGTCATCTGGGTGCTTATTAAAAATATAGATGCCCAGGATCCACATTGGGCCTGGAGTGCAGCCTGGGGATCTGTATTTACCACATACCTTGGGCAGCATCTATGATCGGGGACTTTTGGGAAGTACTGCACATAGTATTGGCTGCTGTCTGGAGGGGAGAGCCACGATCCTCAGAGGGGGCAGGCAGGCAGATGGATGGAGGTGCTGGGCAAACCCTCCGCAATTTCCCTGATATCCCTCTCTCCCTCAGGTTATACGGCGGCCCAAGTAATCCCATGCCCACCTAGCCTGTTTCCGCAATTCCCAGCTAGATCTTCAACCTTCTGGCCGCTCAATACCTGTTACAAAGAGATGCTTAGGGAGTCCCTGGATGGAGGGAGGGAGGGAGGGAGGAAGGAAGGAAGGAAGGAAGGGTGGACAGATGGACGAATGGACAGATGAACTGACAGATGGGTGAATGAATTTCCATCACACCATCCCCTCCAGACTTCCTGTTCTATATCCGAAGTCCGTGGATTCTGAAGTCAGACTGCCACTTCCTAACCGTGTCACCTTGAAGCCTTGGTTTTCTCCTCTGGGAAGTGCAAAAAGGGATCCTTTCCACCTCCGGGGGCTGCTGGGAGGATTATATGGAAAGTACCAACCACAGTGCCTGGGACACACTGGTTCACCTTTCTGCAGGCTGGAGTATCTCAAAATTCTTTCCTCTCGCAAGAGGCTCTATTCTTTAACCTGGGCAGATCTTCCCTTCGTCCAGATAAGGAAACAAAGTTTTATGGAGAGGCAGTGACTGGCCTGAGCCATAAAGCCGATGAGCAGCAAAGCAGGGAATACCATTAGAGCTCACCTTCCCTCTCTCCAGAAGCTCTCTGAGATGATTCTCCTCTTTCCTGTCCTGTTCCGGGGTGGCCCTCAGCATGGGTAGAATATACGCCATTCCAGGAGAGGCCCACACCCCACGGAGCCGAGGACATGGCTCTCCTGTTTGGAGCCACCTGACCCAGGCTGGACATCTGGCTGGATGCCACACTGCCCCAGGGAGAGTGTGGGTTCTGGCCAGGCCCCAGGTGCCCCCAGAAAGTGCCCGTAGATTCTAAATCCATCAGATGCAGCCAACCCAGTGTGGAGCATATCTCTGAAACCTCTGAGCAGAGACAGATGCTATCAGGCTCCTCCTGGCCCAGCCTGGCCCTAGGCTCCCCTGCTAGACAGGGTGAGGGCAGGGACCTGTTAATCATTAATCTGGGGGCAAATGGGTAAATTTCCGGTCCACCAGGTCTACACCCAAACCCCTCCCTGCAGCCTGGCAGGAAACCCTTAGAGCTTGACCCTTGGCAGGTCCAGATGTCAGCTGTAGCTGAGGAGGCCCCACCCTGACTGGCTTCCAGTATGAAGGGGACAAAGGGAGCAGGCACCAATTAGTCCCTCAAATGGTCTCCTCCCCACAGCAGGTGCTGGTGTGAGGGAAAACTCTGCTCACGCTGTTCCTACGGTTCAGAAATTGGGACCTCCCTCGTAGCAGCTGATGGACAGATGAGAGAACACACAGGGAGTGAGGGCAATTTTGACCAGTGGGGCTGCACATCCTTCAAGGCCTATCTCAGATGCCATTCCAAGAACGACAGCTATTATTATTATACCATTACAGCTTTATGAATATATCATATATACCAAAGTATATACCATCATACTTTCTGTTATATAATTTCGATCATCTATCAGTTTTTGAGTCCTTATTACTACAACCTTTAAATTGCAGACACCTGTTGAGTTGGCTACCCACTAGTTCCTCCCATCTATATGGTTACCACCGTGTGGCTGACCATTTTATACCACATGACCCTGCCGCTCCGACCTAGCCATTGGACCAATGAGGATCACGTGACTCAGGCTGGGCCAATCAGTCCTTTCTCTGGGAATTTGGAATTTGAATTAAGTTGCGCTTACAGTTGCTTTCTCTCTCTTTCTTTCTGTGGGTGATTGGGCCTGTAACTCAGGAGATAAAAAGGAGAAGCTGGTCCAAAGAGAGAGCAAAACAATGAACCGAACGCATAGAGAGAAGCAGGGGTGGAGAGAGTGAGAGGGAGAATTTGGGGAACTTTTCAGCTTTTCAGCTTTTCAGCCCCAGCCCCAGAGTCTTCCTGTGGGCAGCCGTGTTCTTGCCTTCGACACTCCTATCTATAGTACGGTGTTAAGGCTTGGAGTTGGTCATCTAACCAAGGGTGCTGTCACTGATCATGACCTTCTGACAACTGTGAAGGACCAGCACACCTTAGCCTGCACCTGTGAGCCAGGCTCAGCAAAGACCCTCTCTCCAATCCATAGGCCCCTATTTTTTTTTTTAACTTCGTGTAATAGACCCTGTGATTGATGGCCCCAGAAAAAGTCCAGTATAAAGTCGGTTAATTTTATTAGCAGTAATGACACTTAGTAGCGATTAATGGTCAGGAAAGGCAGCCAACCGCATAGAGGCCTCAGGCCACACTGGGCCCTGGTCTGTCCGAGAAGACTCGCCTGGCACTGCCTTAGGAGCCCTCTCAGGGCCTACAAAGACAGCTGGGAGATCTTCCAGGACCCAGTTTCCCTTTTCTTTATTTCCTATGTTGTGGTTGGGATCATATTTCCTTTGAAGAAATAGTGCCATGACATCAAATTTAGAAAACACCGTATTTCCTCAGATGCTGTTAGTGAGCTATCCTCCACATGCCCGTCCCGTGGCATCTGCTAGGGAAGCCTTCTTCCCGGACCTCAGAAGAATTCTAGGCATTGCAGGTCCCGTCCATTTCGGGGTCTGCGGGCATGATCCCCTCCCCTTGAAGAAACCACATTCCCTGGCACCCCAGGCCTGAAAACCCCACCCACCCCTGCCTCTCTGCAGAACCTTAATCGCCCACATGTTAGTTGGGCCTCATGGGGGTAAGATGTACACCTGGGAAGATCAAGTGAGCTTCGTCAGTCGTATGAATCCAGACAAAATTTGGAGTTTTCATAAAGACGCTGCCCTGTGGTCTGGTCAGATGCTACCAACCAAACAAGTAGCCAGTGTTCTGAGCTCAAGAGCAGAGGATGAACAACCTGTGGAGTTGTTAGCTGCTCTTCTGGGCTGTGGGACGAGAGCTCCTCCAGGCTTCTGCCCGGCTCAAGTGCTCCCGAGCCCTGTGGGACCAGGCCACCCCCAACAGGCTGTATTCGCTTTGGCGCAGCTGGTCTCCCCCATTTCCGCTTCCAGTGGGCGCCCCCCACCCAGGCTGACTTCCAGCCCCTCTTCTCCTGCGAAGAAAGCAACAATCCCATGTGACCAGCTCCATTCTCCTCCCTTCTTTGCCTCCAGCCTGAGACCCTCTGCTCTCTGTACCCTCAGCCCTTAGTTTAATAATAAGACCAGAAGCCCCCACCCCTATACAACAAGATGTCTCTGGCTTTGACTCCGGAGCATCCCCAGCTGTTCCCTGGGCCACCTTGTCTCCTCCCAGGTGGGAAAAGTTAAGGGTGCCCCTCAGGACTTCACCTCACATACACCCCTACCCCCAGATCTCCTCTGCCCGCTGCTGGCCCTTCCTGCCCTGGCCTCCTTTCACTCCCCAATGCTCACCCCATCCACAGTTTTGGCTAAAGCAGCTCCATCTGGGATGACCCTGAAGGAAGGAAAAGAAGGTTCTCCCAGGATTTGGAGAAAGTATCCCAGGAGGCTGCTCTTGTTTACCTTCAACAGGACCTCAGTCACCGCCAAGCCCCAGAGAGGAAATGGAGCTCACCTTGGAATAATCACTCACCACCTGCTGGAGTAGGGAACCCAAGGACCTCAGGCCCCCCAAGCTGTTTTGGCCTGGGTAGTCTGGTCCCAGGTCTGCCCTCACTCACTGGCGACCTTGGGAAGGTCCACTCTCCCACTGAGCTCATTCCATCTAACAAATACACATTGGCTAGTGGGAGAGCATGATGGGACCAGGCTGCCCGGGTTCAAATCCCGCCTCCGCCTCTTACCAGTTGTGTCACCTTGGGCAAAGCACTTCACCTCCCTGTGCCTCACCTATAAAATGCAGATCACCACAGTACCTACCTCACAGGGCTATCGGGAGGATTAAATGAGTTAACATTTGCACAGGTCTTAGAACAGTGCCTGACACATAGTAAGCTCCAGAGAAGTGTCATTCTTGAGCCCTCACTATGTGCCAGGCGCCATGCTGGCCGTGGGGATGTGCTCCCCTGCCCCCGAGGAGCTGCCGGTCTAGAAGGAACTTGGTAGGATTCGGTAGTACTCCAGATTTTCCCAAGGCCCCAAGAAGCAGAAGAAAGCTTTGAACCAGCCCAGCTTCCGGTGGAACAACCAGGAGCTGCTCAGGGATCAGAACGCTTAGCTCCATCTCCGTGAGAACCTGACCTTGGCCAGGCCCATCCTACCTGTAGTAAGGGGCCTGGGGGGTGGGGAGGAGGCAGGAGGAAGGTCCTAGGGAGCCTTCCAGGCTAGTCGGGGAAGATCAGGCAGGTATAGTGCATTTCCCATCACTTGGGGGTGCCCCAGGCGCTGTTCTCCCCCCCCGACACACACACCCACCCTTTTTTCTGCTTGAGAGGGTCTGACGGTTCCAGAGGAGGTCACCCCCAGGATGTGGGTGAGGGAGTGGGTGGGTGGTGTAGGACAAGGCTGGCGGTTCCCAGGGCACCAGGCAATGCCAGCCTGTCTAGACCCTTAGCTGGAGGGGCCAGGAGCTGTGCCTGGCACCA